CTGATTTATCTAAAAATTCATACAAAGTACTCATTGACAGTTTCTTTCTTTATACTTCTCCCTCAAACTATTATGGTGGTTGTTAATGTTTTATCAAGTATAAATGGGATTTCTTCTTGGAAACTAGTTAGCAAATCATACAGACATACTAGATTTCCACTGGGCAAACTCTTAAGAAATTTGGGTCAAAAAATATTACATGAATTGATATATCATCTCTGAAAAAACGCCGGACTTCAGGTGGGAGTGTGAGCGAATGAGAGAGTCGTGCATGATCAAGGCCTGCATCAGAGCCTCCCAGTGCATGACGTATCAAGTGGGTGGAAGCATTAGTATCCACAGGCTTTAGGTTCAGGCCTTTCTGCCTCTGTTCTAATATACTAGCAACTTCCCTAAGTGTTATTGCCTGTCTTGGGAAACGTACTGGCTGCAAGGTCTGCCGACCTGACATGTACTCTCCCACAAGTGTGACTGTGTCTAATGGACTCATGCATTCCCACAATCCATCAGATCCCATCAAAAGGAATCTATCACGAGGTCGAAGACGATGGTAAGTAACTTCTGGTGTAACTGTCAGGTATGGAGGAGTCACACAATGACGAATCAAGTGCTCAGGCCCTAAGTAACGTTGAATTATTTCTGATTGTGTTACTAGGTCCCACTTAAAGCGGAAATCACCAAATGCTCGGAAGGGCATTAATACACCCAAGAGTCGTTGATCTACTATTACATGTTCAGACTCTGAGTCTGGATGCTCAGATAGCACACGTTCAATTTCATCTGGATTTTCCCAGTTGTGATCTCTTGTTAGACGAAGTGCTCGCCAGCCACTGCCTGCCGTTTGAGACTGCATCCCTAAAACAGCTCCACAGTCTCCAGTATTAGCAATATGGAGATGTGGACCATCAATGTGGGCTACACATGCAACAGAGCCAGAAAGAGCAACACGTAATAATGGTTCCAGCACTGCAGATTGCTGATTCTCTTTTACCTCCCGCCCCATGTCATTATCAAGCTGAGTAAATGCTTGAATCAATACTTCCTCCATACTGAAATCTTCATCAAATGCACTGAGCAGAGAAATGCAGTATCTCAAAAATGAATCTTGGTAAATTTCCTGCAGTTCAGACACAAACTGAGATGGATCATTATAGACCTGAATAAGAGGTATGCGATTACCCGCTTCCCACTCGGATACCACCCGACGTAACTCCTTGCGTGGGAGCAGTGCAGCAGCCACATAGTCAAAGAGTCTTTTGGCCACAACCTGACTGCACTCTGGCCCTCCATGACCATCAAACACACCAAAGAGATATCCTGAAATTAAAGGTATAAATCAGTTCTTTGCAAGTATCTGTATGTCATAACATTAATTTAATCTTATATCAATCACTTCCTAGGGAGCTGTATAAATGAAGTCTATTTTGGGTGTTATTTCTCTAAAAATATATCCATTTTTTTTTTTTCCATAGGCTATAATAGTACCTTATAAATTTGACAAGAAGTCCTTGATACCTTCTATTCCATTATTAAGATGATTTTTGGTACTCAAAGCCCATATTTCATGTACTGGAACTTGCCAAAGTTAACAAAAAGGAAAATGTATATCTCATCCTCCAAGTAATTACCAGAACTTTATTCAGTCAATTTTCAAATTAAACATCTGAAGAAATAGGCATGGGAAATTACATAAAAAGCAAAAACTACTTTCCTTCTTTCATTCCTTTTTTATCTACCAGTTTATATGTTAAAATTATCAAACTATATTTACTAAACAAACAGAAAAACTCACATGCAAATAACCAACCAAAAATAAACCAGTAAAAAAACAAATATGAAGAGAAAAAAAGAAAATTTGAAAGGAAAAATCAACAAGCACTGATGAGTAAAGCCAATCACAAACCTGTAGTGTGCAGGCATCTTGCTGATGCTAGTTTATCTTCTATGGGAGAGTTGGAAGCCAACTGATTGGAATCAACAGAATCTATGGAATAAGAGCCTGATGATGTGTAGCCCTGTTCTGTCCATCCTGTTCCTCCACTGTCCAGCTGTATCATGCCTTCATTTTGACGCAAAATTGTAGATACCTATTAAAAGATCAACAGATGAGTGTTATGTACATTGCTCATGCACATTAATCTTTTCTTGAAATAAAATGCATTTCCAATACTAAAAATTAGAATTACAATCTACTAGGTACCAATGACCTGTATAATTCTGACTACTTTATATTCAGCACTCAAGAATATTATTTGGTATAGCTATTGCAACTGGCAAACATGTGGAGAAAAATTGGAAGGAATAGGAAGAAAAGGAAGGGAAGGAAGAGGTGGAAGAGGAGGGGAAGGTGGAGGAGGTAGAAGAGGAGGGGAAGGTGGAGGAGTCAAGAAGTTGGATAAGTAGGAAAAGTGAAGGAGAAGAAAGATCTGGCAGAAGCAGAGGGTGCAATAGAGGTGAAAGAGACAAACAAAACGGAGGTGGAGAGGAAACTGCTAAAATAGAAAATCTAACAAAGTAGAAAAAGAAATGATTCTAGCTGTATCTAATTACTTTATTCTCGTGCCTTTCACTGGATTTTTAAATGATCTATTTTCCAGTTAACTGATGCTATGACATTTCTTATGATGATACACTGTATGTCTAGCATTCATTACACATGATGGCTAAATTATCATAGAGACAATTCAAACAATTCCTTAAATGTAGAGCACCATTAGCACAGGAATCATTATGTGCAAAGTAAAAACTATTTTTCCCAAAGTACATCACTTGTTAATTACTTGGGAATGTGTTTCATGAGTGATTTCTTCATATACTGGTTTTTACTTTTATTTTGGTCCTCAATATTTTGTAAGGAAATTTACTGGTATACTTGTTTTAATTTTGACATGGGAAATATAGTCAATATTTCATTAAGAATATATTTGATTTTCACTGTAGCAAGTGTTTTACTCCAATATGACCAATAAAACTGCATTAATCAAGGGCAGTTATAACCAATGACCAAGATAAATTCACTGGAATTGCCACACATCCATTTTTTCACTCTGAAGGCCTGTCCACACAAGTAGACATGATCTGCAGGTACCATAAACAAAAAAGAATGGGAAGCTACTTGTTTACCAAGTAATTTGATCGTCTGTGACCTCATCTCAACTTCTGTCTACCCTTGTGCCCGTCATTACAAAGTGCCCAAGTTCACTTAAAACTTCCACTGAGCTAAGCCAATCAGCCAATAATGCCTGAATGTAGTCAGATTCCACAATAAAGCTATCTTAAGAAAATTCTAGTTCTGAAGCATAATACAGTGGAAGGGCAAGAGAATACAGTGCAAGAGAAAATATAAGGTTATGTGAGAAGAGCACAGAACCCTTTCATTCATCTAGGAAATGAAATTTAGAATAAATAATCAAAAATACATATGCAGAATAAAATTATATACACAACTTCAGGAACATTTAGTGTTTACAGATTTCACTTCGGTATTCATCTTAAGGAAAAAAAAAAAAAATAAAAAAATAATTAAAACAAATAATATATCTTACAGCATAAGAAAATATCGAACCTGAAATACTAAGATACTAAAGTTCTCAGCATTGAAGGACAGCATACATACCTCCTGCGGTGACAACCTTGGTCGTGGATAGCTTGTGTTCGTTCTATCAACACGACATGTGCTGAAGAGGCAGGTCGTGACCTTCGACCTGGGTTGACCCCCAAGATCAGCCGCCAACAACCTTGGCTCAAACGAACGAGTCAAATATCTCACATTCTGGGAAAAAGATGTGAACACTTTTGCCATAACGCAGCCGCCGTAGCTTTAATGGCCGAAATCTCTTTCAAGACGAGGGATCAAAGAAAAAAGAACGAGAGAAGAAAAGTATCTCTACGCAGCGGCTCTGACCACACTGCTCCGTGTTTACATGAGCAGCAGACGAAATTATGTGAAGCAGGCTTGCCAACCCTTCCGCGCTAATGTTCCTATTTATATATATACATATATATTTTTTTACATCAGCGTAATTTACTACATATGAATTGGTAATTGCGGCTTTATTCTTGTTATGTAGGACGTTTGTTTTCAATAATTTATTTGACAGCAATCGTATGATCTGTATGTTGTTGGCACTCTGACGATTATTGCACTAACACGCAAGAGTGATCAACATAAATCCGGACAAACAACTAATCACTGATTTCTATCTTTCATAAATGCCAAGAGCTCGTACTGGCATCCTTGTGTTCCTTCCGTAGAATGTCGCCGCTCATGCTACAGTAACCGGAACTATGACCTTTACTCCAAATGAGAAATGTTTCGTCGAAAAAATGATAAAATGACGATTCTCATATCATTGTCAGCATCATTCATACTCAACATCAGTCAAACCATACTATTTGTTTCTTTACAAAGGCATCATATTACCGGAACGCTATACAATTTGACCAGGTCAAGGACACCGCATGATGCATGGCCCCCAACTTCGTAACTCTTCTCAGACATTATCCGGCAGGTAACTATTCAAAATGCAGATACCAACGTCTCTCTAGCTTCCTGACTTAAAATTTAAGCGGGTGTCATATCAATTGCACAAAGGTATTAACGATGCAACGTAGTGTGTCGGCGCATAATTCATCCTATTTATCGTTGCCTGATCAGCAAATATCATGATTAGACCTCCCCCGAAGATCAGTAGTCATGACAGGTTCATTCTGGGAGATTCGAGTGTCAATGACAATACGGGAAAAAGGTTTCTTGTTGTCTAAATTTATCAACAGTAAACAGCGAACAACAGCGAATATAACAGTGTTGAGAAGATAGTATTTGAAAAAGTAACGACTCCAGGAGCAAATTATATGAAACGGGTCTGCCAGAGAGGCGGGAGCTGCCGAGACACTGTCCATGGCTGTACTCTCAGACCCCAGCGAAGGCGAGTCGGTTGTCTGGAGCCTTTCCAGTGTTTGGTTCCTCGCCTGGGCCTCTCGGGCTCCGGTGCTCGCGT